AGAATAAAGGATTTAAATAAATAAAAATAAAAGACAAGAAAAAAAAACCGAAACCAATAAAAACAAAGCTTTAAGAAAAAAGTCTTCGAAAATGGAAAATAATTTTTGCTACCGCCAATATTTTATGGAAAGAAAAGAAAAAGAACAATTTTACTAATGTAATGCGCACAAAAAATCGTTTAAAAAGGAAAAAAATATATGTAAAAAAAATAAAAAAAGAACTTACACTTCATAAACTTTCTCAGAACACTTTATAAACTTAAACAAAAAAAAAATAATAATAATAAACAAAAGAATGAAAGTAAAGTAAAGTAACAAATATAAAGAAAGAAAAGATAAGAAGAGTTAAATAATCAATTAAAAAAGAAAGAAGGAAAAGCAAATTAAGAGCTAGGAGATTGGGTTATTTTTTTTGTTTGTTTTTTTATAATTCTTTTTTTTTACGATATAACTTGTAAACGGTATTATGCGGTAGTGGTGTAGTAGTAGAGCGCTCGCTTCATAAACGAGTGGTTCGGGGTTCGATCCCCACCACGTCCTTGGTAGTATCGCGCTCAACTCGTTTCTCCACGCAGCGGCCTTGTTCGTCAAGGTTCGTGTTTCGGAGTTATAGAGTTGAGAGAGGGTTATAGTCACAAAATAAGTAGCCTCCTCGTCTATAGTGGCCTTCTTGGCCTTGAGGAGGTGAATTAAAATTAAAAAAAAAAATCATGATTATAATTCATTAGTTATCATTTTTAATTCATTAGTTAATTTGTTTTTTCAGTCATAGTTAATTGTATTTATTTTTAGTCCTCGTTTGATACCTAGTTATTTTATTTATTACATATATTTTTGTTATTATATTTTTATAAACTTATTTATAATTAACTTATTTTTATTTATTATTATTTTAGTATAGTTGTTAACAATATTATTATTGGTAGCAGTTAACAGTAGTTAGTATATATTATTAATATAGTATAGATATTATTATTGTATTATTAATTTTTTTATATTTGATATCTTTAGCTATCTAAGTTATTGTTAATATTAGTTCGTGGTTTGTCAAAGTTTTATTTTCATTATTTAATTTTATAACTGTTAGCTTTTAGTTACCTTTAGTGTTACTTATTTTTTCTATGATTTCTTTTACATTGTTATTAAAATTATTTTTGATTACTCGCGCCAACGGTTACCCAAGTTTTAAGTTAATAAATTTAGTCTTTTACTTTTTTTTAATCTCTATTACACACTTTAGTCACTTTAACTAGTTAAACTGCATATACATATATATATATATATATATATATATATATATATATATATATATATATATATATATATGTGTATATATATATTTATATATATATTTTCTAAAAATTATGGCATTTAAATCTCTCTGCAACACTTGTCATAAAAAAAAAAACTGACAATCAAAGAGCCATCCAATGTGATCTCTGTAACTCATGGGTCCATGCAAAGCGTAACCATATCAATGCACAATCATATAAAATTTGACGAGTCTTCTTTTGTATGACTCGTCAGATTTGTATTGTCATTGCTGTTTATCTAAGAGTATGGCCTTTAGCTCGATTTCCAACTTGGAGCTTAAGTCAACATTATCATGCAAAAATTTATCTACTAGTTCATTAAATTCTTTTGAGATTCTAAGTAATCATAAAAATATCTTAAAGATCTAAATAAATCTCCCAGTTCTGTTAATTGCAAATACTGTAACGTTATTGATCTCAATAAAACTATGCTTCCCAATTCAGAACTATATATTCATCTTAACATCGCTTCTCTACCATTCCACATTGACGAACTCTGTAGTCTTATCAGCTCTCTTAATAATTTTCCCTTAGCAATAGGTACAGAATCTAATTTATATATAAACGATACAAATATAACTGATATATACATAAACGGGTTTAATATTGAGCAATGTCCTACTGAGGCTAAAAAGGCTAAAAAAGGTGGAGCATTTATACTTACGCTCAAATTTAAACTACGTTGTTTGCAATGATCTTATAATTTACTCTTCAAAATATTTAGAGTCTATTTTTGTTGAAATTTTAATACCTTGTGAATAAAATATAATAATTGGTTGCATTTATCGTCATCCTTCAATGAATCAACATGAATTTACTTCTTCCCACTTAACTGCTCTACTTGAAAAGCTAAGTAACGAAAAAAAGAAGATTTTTATATTAGGTGATTTTAATATAGATTTATTAAGTCACAATGAATCTAACCCTATTTCTACATATCTAGATTCTTTAACATTTTACTCACTAAGCCCTTTTATAATTTTACCATCACGCATAACGGCTACATCCAAAACGCTCATTGATAACATATTCACGAACTTTCATTCAACTGATCAATTCTCAGGTAACCTTACGATTTCAATTTCAGACCACATGGCACAATTTATTTGCATTCCTGGCATACCTCACCATCTCAAAAAAGTAAAAACTTACAGATGATGCTTCAAAAAATTTAATAAAAATATATTTATTGAAGAAATTTCTGATATCAACTGGGAACTTTTCATTAAAAAAAATGATGATGTTAATAAATCCATGAATTTTATTTCAAAAACATTTGATGAAATCTTAGACCGACATGCTTCTTATAAAATACTAACCAACCAACAAATTAAAGTTAAATCAAAACCTTGAATTACGTATGGAATACTTAAATTTGTTTCAGTTAAAAACAAACTTTATAAAAAGTTTATAAAATCAAAAAATATTTATAAGAAAAATCAATTATTTGAAAAATTTAAATTTTATAGAAACAAAATTTCTAATTTATTAAAATTTAGCAAAAAAACATACTTTATTACTTATTTTAACAATAATATGGACAATATTAGAAACACCTGGAAGGTAATAAAAGAAATCAACAATATTAGACCTTCTACACAAAATACATTTTTTAAATTTAAATTGAACAAAAATCTTATCACTGATCACACTGCCTTATCTAATATATTTAATAATTACTTTAGCGCTATACAAAACAAACTACTTAGCAAAGCCATACCCCCTAAACGCATATTTAGTGATTTTCCTTCATTCCAAATGCTAATTCGTTTTTTATTTATCAGGTAACTGAAAATGAAATATCTGGTCTTACTATAAACACCCCTAGTAGCAAACAATATTGGCGCAATATTGAGGCGATATTGTTTACAAAATTGGCGCAATATTGTAAACTATATCGGGCCAATGTTGCAATGTGAACATTTTGCCAATATTGGCCAATATTGGCGCAACAATATTGCGCCAATATTGTTTGCTACTAGGGGTGTTTATAGTAAGACCTGATATTTCATTTTCAGTTACCTGATTAATAAAAAACGAATTAGCATTTGGAATGGTAAGAAAATATTGTAAAGTCAATATTGGCCAATATTGGCGATACAATACTGCGCCAATACTGTAAAGTCGATATTGGCCAATATTCGCAAAATGCTCACATTGCAACATTGGCCCGATATAGTTTATAATAGTGCGCCAATATTGTAAATAATATCGCGCCAATAATGGGGATATTATACTGGCCAATATTGGCCTAATATAGTTTACAATATTATCCTGATATATATAATATATATAACTAAATTAAGGCAATATATTGAGTATTTTCGATTAAATTTTTATTATTAAAAAATAATAAAAAATATTGCCGTCTACAAATTTGTAATAATTAATATTTATAACAGTTTTCTTGTTTAAGTGATAAAGTACTATAGTACTAGGCTGCATTACTCTTTTGAGTTAAACAGGTTATAGTCTAGGAGATGACAATAATCATAAAACACTCTTTAAGAAAAAGAAAAAAAAAAAGGAAATCATTAAATTTATTTGAAGTTATATGAAACAGATACAAATGAAAAAAAGAGGTATAGAGTTTTCCAAAACCAAAATATAACAAAATAAAATCAATGCTATTTAAATACAGGTACAAAAAATATGTATATGTGTATGTATATATATATATATATATATATATATATATATATATATATATATATATATATATATATATATATATATATATATATATATATATATATATATATATATATATATATATATAATTTATTTCATTGCCTAATATTGGGCGTTGCTCAGTTACGGTTCTATTTTTCTTCCGAAGTATAAATATTGTAAAATAATTAGCTTTTATTAAAATATTTATTTATTAAATGGAAATGGGATGTAGAATACAAATATTGTGCTTTACTTATAACGACCTTGCAGGACGTTTTTGTTTTTTTCCATACACTGAGTATGAAAAACATACTTCTTTGGCCATTAGCTGTATTAAGATTGCCGCTGTAAGTTGTTTCTCATCTCCTCCCACCGAAGAAAGAAAGTTCATCTAAAATAAGAAAACAAATGTAATATAATTGATAATAAAAGTATAATGGTTCCTCATGTGTATGTATTAGACGGTTTTCCATCATGTGATTCTTATTAAAACATGACATTAGGGAAGAGTAAAAGCAATTGGTTATAAATAGATTATGACATCTGTAGCGGTGAATACACCCTACACTCTAAGAAAAAATCCGTTATATACAACGAATTGTATCTGTCGCTATTGCACTAACAGGAAATCCGTTAAGTTAACGAATTAAAATTTTAACGAATTGAACTCCGTTAGGAATAGTCCGTTGAATTTACGGATTTATTTCGTTAGTGCAACGAATAATCCGTTAAAATTAAGGAGTTATTACACTAGGCAGCAAATTTTCCGCGGTTGTTATTCCTATGAAATAAGTGTGTTAATAAGTTATTTTAGTGATTATTTCGTTAAAATCACTAAAATCTAAAATTGAGAGGCCAGAATTGTGACTTCATAACCAAATAATCCTTATATTTGTTAATGTTTGCATTTTTATTTAATTGCATTTTTTTATTTCGATATTCTACATTAAAACGTTTTAACCAAAAATTGAAAACTAATCAAATATTTATAATATTTAATCCAATATACTTTAAATTACAATAAAAATAGTAAAAAAAAATATTTTTAATACACTATACTCAAGCTAGTACATTTATATAAAACACACACATATATATAATAGATGTTTAAAATAAACCAATGCCAAGATATTAGTTTATGGTCGCTAGTTTTGCTTTGGTTGGTTTAATATTTTGGTTTTGAATACTGTTGTTACTCGTACACAGGTTCGCACTTTAAATCGACACCATGCTGTCAACTCCTTAAAGATTAATATAAAATAAGGAAAATATGGAAACTTAATAACATACCTAGTATAAAACCAAAATAAAATGTTACTGATAACACTATAGAAAATGTTTTTGGTAATTCATTATATATAAATTTCTATTCTAAATTTTGTTATTTGAATTATCTCTGATATCGTTTTCTAAAGATAAAGTTAAATGGAACAAGTAAATTATATCTTTATTAAAATGTAAATTAAAAAAAAAGCATAAGATCACCTTGACATAATCTGGTAACTGAAAGACTCTATACATTTCACATACATTAATACCTATCAGGAGGAAAAAATAAGGTCTCTAAAAACCTTTTAAAAACTATGATAAATCAAAACAAGATTAAATATGCAGACCAAAAAAAACGCAAGCAACTATACAAAAAAATTAATTTAAACATACAGTGTCATACCACTTGTCACATGTTTAAAACAGCTAATTCTAAAATAATAGTGAATATAGAATATAGTAGAATAATAGTTAAAAAAGTGTGATATAAACTTAGTCTTAACTAAACTAAATAAATATGCATGCCAAAAGAAATGCAAGTTAAAATACGATTTTTTTAAATTTACTAATTTAAACTAACAGTGGGATACCACATGCCACGTGTCTAAAACAGTAAATTCTAAAATAATACAAACACATCAAATATAAACTTAGATTTTAATAACTAAATAAATATGCAAGTTACAATATAAATTCTACAACCAATTTAAACCTGCAATGTGACACTAAATGCCGCGCCTCTAAAGCAGCAAATTCTATAAATAACTGATATATAACCTTAGTTGTAACTCAATTAAATAAACATGAATGTTAAAAGAAATAGAAGTTCCAATATAAATTTTTTAATTTTACAACTAGTTTTAACTTACAGTGGAATAGCAAATGCCATGTGTCTAAAACAAAAAATTCTGAAATAATATAAACACACCAGTATAAACTTAGTTTATGATATTGGATGCCACATGTTTAACTTGGAATTAATAAAAATTGTAATTTGTAAAAGCATATTAACTAGCCATGTAAACTTAGCTGTAACTAACCTAAATAAATATACCTATCAAAGATGTTAACATTTTTAATTTTACAACTGATTTAAACTAATATGGTATGTTACTACATTTCATATAACTAAAATATAAAGATAAAAAAGACTATAAATAATCCATTTAGTCTATATTACAGAAATAATTGTTCAACTAACCCTTTACTACTAGTAAAGGATTAGTTGAACTTTTATTTCTATAATATAGACTATATGGATTGCATATATTCTTGCATAATTTTCTAGATTTAGACATGTAGTAACTTACCATATATGATATGTATTAACTTACCATATATGTTATTATATATTATTTAGTAATACTAATGGCTTTTAATTTAAAACAAAATAAACCTTATTGTTAAATTTTCTATATAAAGCTTAATATAGAAAATTTAAAATAATCTAAATAACCTTCGAAATTACAAATAACAGAGCGTAATTTAAATTATATTTATCCATTTGCTTTGTCTACTAAATGTAAAGTTTTTTAAAAAATGGCATATTACACTTACTGCAACCAACTTTTATTTACGATGTAAATGTAAATGTGAGAAAAACGCATTCAAAACTATCATTTTTAAAATAAAAAGCTATAATATTCTGAAATATTTTTTTTGACCGATTAGAATATTTAATCTGTTGAATTAACGAAATTTCAAAGAATCCGTAAATAGGGTCATTTCCACACCTAGCGTGAGTCAACACTTATCGTAGGTTTTAAATACTAACATAAATTTTGCACTAAGTAGTAATTATTTTTTTTGTATATATATTTTGTTTATCAACAACATCGTCATGCACTTTTATTAAAATACATAGAAACCGCAATACATAGTTACTTATATAAACTCAGTGGGGCTTATTACGTCAGCCTATGAAAATACTTTTTTTTAAGTACCAGCTGTTAGAAGCGTTTCAAATAAAACAAGATAATTTAAGAAGATAAGATAAAATTTTATTTCTAAATTGATTTAATAAGATAAATAAAACATGGATCATTATTAATATTATTAAAACCACTCATCATTATAGTATCAATGTAGTATTTTTGAACGTACGATAAGTATGAACTAAAAAAATGTCTTTCCATACATATCGTATGCCCAATAAATAATCAATTTGTTTCTTTTTTACTATAAAAATAAGATTTCATTTAGATTCTTTTACAATGGCAAGACACAAAAGTTTGTAGCTCAAAACGAAGACTTCAATATACAGATAGCCAATTAAGAGATGCTATGAATGCTGTTAAAAAAGGTATGGTTGTGTACAAAGCAAGCAAGACGTTTGGAATTCCTTATCAGACGCTTCGTGATAAAATATCTGGAAAAACTTCTCTGAAGATACAACACTGCGGTTATGAATCGGTACTAGGTGAACACATTGAAAATAAATTAGTCGAGTGGTTACTAACATGTACCAGAATGGGATTTGCCATGTCTGTAGTACAGCTATTAGATACTGTGCAAAAATACTTAAATGCCAACAATATAAAAACACAATTTACTAACAACCGTCCTGCAAAAGGTTGGTTTTATCCATTTCTTCGCCGTCATGAACAGTTATCTCAAAAACGAGGTGAATACTTAAACCGAGCTAGAAGAGGAGTAACTGAAAAAGCCATAAGAGATTGGTTTACTGAAATTCCAAAACTTTTAGGAGAAAATTTACATATTTTACATAGATTTACATAATTACAAAATATACATAATTTACATAGATTCGATGCGCGTTTTCAATATGGATGAGAGTGGTTTTTAGTTGTCACCAAAAACTAATTTATTAATCGGTGAACGAGGAAAAAATACTTATGAAGAAAGTGCTCGAAGTAATAAAAAAAAATCACTTTATTTGCAGTAAATGCCAGCGTAACTTTTGCTCCACCATTAACAATTTTTAAACATGTTCGTCTTCCAAATAGAACTATAAATACTGTTCCATCAGGATGGGGTATTGGAAAAAGTGAAAATGGTTGGATAACCGCAGAATGTTTTTTTGAGTATATTACAAACATTTTTCATCCATTTTTGATAAAAGAAGAAATTCCTTTACCAGTTTTTTTTTTTTTTGATGGTCATGCGTCACCTTTTTCTATCAAACTTAGCGAGTTTTGCTCTAAAAATGGAATAATTCTCGTTGCTTTGTTCCCGAATGCAACATATATTTTGCAGCCGCTCGATGTGGCAGTTTTTAGGCCAATGAAAGCAAAATTGGAAATCTTTATGCCGACAATGGCGCATTTACCATGAAGGACAAGAAATAAACAATGAAAATGTACCAGAAGCATTAAATTCATTTATAATTGATCCTTCTATGGCAAATAATGTTAAAAGTGGTTTTAAAAATACCGGAATATTTCCATTTGATGCTAATAGTGTGGACTACACAAAAATTGTTCAAAGACTATCCGAGTCAACTGTGGCTCTGACTCCTTATTTAGAAGAAAATCAATCAAGTGTGACTTTATCAGCTTCCTCTCCCATAAACTTTATTGAAAACTTTATTGATCCAAGTATTTTAGAGCAGTTTAAAATAGCTGACGAACATTTAGGTTAGAAAGGTGACCTTGAATATCTCCAGCTGTATCTTTTTTGGAAAACAGCCTCATCTGAAACATATAAGACCACAATTTTACCTGATGAAATACAACAGGGTAATAAAAATCTATCAACAACTTGTAATTTAGAAAATGTGCAAATTATAACCGGTATGGAAATACCTGATTGCAATATTGCAGCGGATATAGAACCAAAACCAGCTTGTTTTAATTTGAAAATAGCAGCAGAAATCATAAGTCCGATTGAAAGTGTTTTAATATGGCCAAAACAACCAGTCCAAACGTCCAAGCGCAAAATAGAACGTTTATCATCGGTTGAACATCTGAAACGTGGCAGCAAATTCAAAAGACAAAATTGCAAGGAAAGTCGCAAATAAATGATGAAAAATTAAAATAAGAAAGAAACAATTAGCTGCAGATAAAAAGTCAAAAATAGAAAAATAAAGATTAAGAAAGAAACAAATGGCTATTGAGAAAAAGTTATTAAATGAAAAAACTAAAAAAGAAAGAGAAAACATGGAAATTTTGAAAAAGAAAAATAAAGTCGCAAAAGAAAAAGTAAGCCTTGAAACTGAGTCAGAAAACGAGTTCCATTGTTAACAATAATTATAAAATAAGACTCAGATAATTATAATGAAACTCTATTCATTCCAGTTTAAAAGATTTGTACTAAAGTAATGGAAATGCTTTAAAAATCTTTAGTTTTAATTCAAAATAATATTTTCATTACTATATAATTAATGTTTATTTAATATATATTTTTTAAATTTATATACCTAAAAATGTTCAATAAAATGTTACTAATGCATTAAATTTTCATTTGAAACCGCGAGCGCATTATAAACCAGTCACTAAAGCAGATTTTAAGATATACGATAAGTGTCAACAATATATACGATAAGTGTGAAACACTTACGATAAGTATGGAAAACTGCTCTTTAAAAGTTTGATCAAAATAAGTACATTATTGATTTAAAATTTAGAGTGAGAATAATTTTAAACTAACCCTTATAGTACTACATTGATGGCTGCAAAAATTCATTTCTAATAAATTTCTACTATTTAAGTAATCTAACATAATATAATAACTTTTGTTAAACTCACGGTAAGTGTGGAAACCACCCTAGTTAATTTTACTCCGTTAATTTTCTGGCTTTTGGTAACGAATTAATCCGTTAATTTAAGGAAAAAGCGCAATCTGTTACTTTTTTTAACGGACTGTTTTTAGAGTGTACAGATGTCAAAGATATCTGAGATTAGTAGTCATTGTTACACAAAATACATCGCTAACTGGGCATAAAAGATAAAAATCACAATAAATTGTAATAAGCATTTATATAAAACATTCTGATATACAACATAATTATAGTCAATCACGTATCATGTTGTATCATTTGTTTGTATGTTTCATATGAATGTATCATATATTTTAAAAAATTAGAAACTTTAACAGTACATGGTACTGTTTCCAAAAACTATTAACTAATATCAATTCACTGATATATACTATTGATTCATAAGGTGTCTATGTTCCATAATTTTTTCTTCGAGGTTTAGAAGATCTTTTTTCCTATACAGCCGGCAAATAAATTCAATAAATCGAAAGATATAGTCAAGCAAAGCTCTGATGGAATCACTTAACCCTAAAACACTAAAGATTTCTTCAATCTTTGAGAAACTGAAAGACAATCTCATCAGTGTCACTTTTTTTGTAACCTGCATCCTTTTAAGCTGGAGGCGCAGATAATTCTGTTCTAAAGCAGTCTCATAACTGTCGAAAAAAAGTATAAAAAAAGGATGAAACCATACTAAACAATCAACATTTACTATATTTGAGTCAAACATAGCTGTTTAGATTAAAAACAAAGATAATACTGTAAATAAAACAAAAACAATATTGTAAATAAGACAATTTTCAGCTGCTTTTAGTTACTTTTAAAAGCGTGACTTTATGTATGGCAGCCTAAAGGCAAGATGCTTGCAAGTGATTTCGCCAATACACCACACTTTCATTGATCCGCCATGAAAAACAGATTACATTCATGGCACACATTTTAGTCAGGTCAGGAGTATGGTCTTCATGATCATCCTGCTACTGGTAACATGAAACCCAGCGCAACCTGTTCCATGTTCTGCTGCCTTGCAGGATTTGCTTTCTAAGCAAAGGCTGGAAGGAGTGTTCTTCCTGTCATCAGTACTATCTAATATCAGTCATGCCTATAGTAATTTTTTTTTTTTTTTCATATAGTTGGAGGTGCCTTAGTTACTGTATTAGCTCACCTGTAATCTACGTTATATGAATGTTTGTGTTCTGTCTGAACCTTTGGCGCGGTGTTCGCTCACCCGTAAGTTACTTTATGTTCTTTATGTATGTCTGTGTTCTGTCTGAACCTCTGGCGCGGTGTTGACTCACCCGTAAGTTGATTTATGTTTGTTTGTGTTCTGTTTATACTCTAATGCAGCGTGAGCTCAGTAACTAACTACTTACTCCAACTACAAAACCTACACTCACCTTAGACCTGTATTTTGTTAGATGTAGTGTTTTCCTAATGCACTTCCAAAATATCATGCCTGGTTTTCTCAAAGTACTGTTGCGGGAAGTAACTCCTTTTAACTACTCCGGGTCAGGTCAGGATAATTGAGACCAATCTTGCTACTGGTATCACGTAACCCAGTACCACCTGCCACAAGCCCTGCTGCCTTGCAGAGTGTGCTCTTCTTAGGCAAAGGCTACGAGAAATAAACTCCGACTAAAAATTCCCCTGCCTTGGGGCTCTTGGTTGAGTAAAAGCTAGAGATGGTGTCTCGATAAAAA